TTGTAAGGAGTTTGAGATGGCAAAGGATACAGTTTGTGGATACAGAAGAGGGCTAGTTTTAGGACCTGACTAGCCATGGCACCTTCATATTTCACAGCAAGGAAAAGAAAGGATTCTGGGCTGTGTTTTTCTATGGACCTAGATAGAGTTCCATCTCTTAGGCAAAAGTTGAGGCCCAGATATGTTTTGTCCTTGGAGAACAAAGAAAGTTTTATGGCATAGGTCTGTCTCTATTTGTTTTCCCTGCTCAGGAAGAAGACGTGAATGGCAACTCATACATACATATGCATTAAGTGCTTATATGTGCCAAGAACTGTGCTAAGTGAGCTGTGGGGATCCAAGTAGAAAAAGGGAGACAATCTCTGTCTGTAAAGAGCTCACCCTCTTCCTTGGGGGAGACAACACATAAAAGGACCCTGTACGTGAACGATAAATGGAAAGGCTTTGAACATCTGGCCAACCACTAGGGTGAATGGCAGTATCCAAGGGTCCTCGTCACTAGGTCAGACAAGAAGATAAAATGCACGTTTTTCTGTCTGTCCTTGAAAACTCTTCAAAATCTTTTTCCAGTTTTTCCTCCTAGACCAGTTGCACATGACTCTCCATCATGGTCTCTATGTTTCAAGTGGACTAGCCTATACACTATAGGGCATCTCTTGCTTGTGTGTATTTGCACAGACTGTCCCGCCCTGTGTGGACTGTTTTCCTTTCTCCTTTCAGCCTTGTAGAATCCCTAGCTTCCTTCCAGGTACTACCCTCACCAGGAGGCCCCTCAGTTATTACTGGTCTCCCCTCCTTGAGATCTCTTTGTATTTACTCTCCATAATTTCTGTTTGCTTCTCTGAGTCCTTGTTGTTCCCACCCTTATTCCTGCTAGCAGATTGTAATCCTTGAAGGGAAGAAATCTTTCATTTTTGTCCTTTTATAAAGCTTCTACCACAGGGCTTGGCACATAGTAGGGCACTCAACAAATGTTTGTCACCAGAGAAAGTGGGAGTTGGTGGTATTGAAGGAGGTTGACTGGTCCCATCAGAATCCATGAGCTGACCTTGTAAGTCAAGCTCTCCTTAGGCCTCCTGAGAGAAGTTATCCTTTTAGCTAGATGAGATTTAAACATCTCCCATCATTCCCCACCCATTTCGAAATTCAACAACCGGCCTTCTTAAACTTCTTCCACTTGAGACCCTTTTTCTTATTTAGGCAGCGTTCATTGGCATTGTGTGGCCTGAGGGCATGCACAGTGCAAAGTGCATATGCTTTGTGCTCAGAACCAAGGCTGAAGTGAAGTTGCACGATGCAGTGTGGACAAGCGCTGCCAGAAACACCTTGGATTCAACATGTGTTTGATTTTTAATTAATTTTTGGTGATTGCGTGTTCAGAAACCTTTTACTGTTGCCAAGAGGGTCTCAACCCACAGTTTAAGTAACACTGAGTACAATGGAAAGAGAATTAGACAATCAAGAGTTGGGTTGGAATCCTATCTCTTGGCAAGTTACTTAAGTTTTTTGGGTTTCAATTCCCTCTTTAGTAAAATGAAGAGATTGGACTAGGGAAGGGGAACCTGCGACCTTGAGGCCACATGGACTCTCTAGGCCACCCAGCTAGGTGGCACAGTGAATAGAGTGCCCAGCTTGGGGTTAGGAAAACTCATCTTCCTGAGTTCAAATCTGGCCTCAGGCACTTACCAGCTGGGTGACCCTGTGCAAGTCACTTAGCCTCTGTTTGCCTCAGTTTCCTCATCTGTAAAATAAGCTGGAAAAAGAAATGGCAAAGCACTCCAGTATCTTTACCAAAAAAAGGCCAAATGAGATCAGAAAGACAGACATCACTGAAACCACTTAACAACAATTATGTCTATTTCTAACTAATTTCCTTCTGATCATGTCCACTCCCACTCTCCATTCAGTAAATTTCAATAGATCCCTATCAACTGTAGGATCAAACACAAATCCACTCTTAACATTCAAAGCCTTTGATAACTTGGCTCCCTTCTACACTTCCAGGTTTCTTACACCTTACTCACTTTAATGTACTCTTCAGTGCAGTGACACTGACCACCTTGCTCTTTATCATACAAATCATTCCATTTTTCCATTTGGTACATTTTCACAGGCTGGTCCCCCAACCTGGAATGCTCTTCCTCTTCTTCACAGAATTCTGGCTTCCCTAGTTTCCTTCCAGTCCCAACTAAAATCTTACCTTCTATAAGAAACCTTTCCTGATCTGCTGCCTTGACCCTGAGATTATCTCCAATTTATTCTATACGTAGTTGTTTGTAGGTTGTTTTCGCCATTAAACCGAGCTCCTTGACAACAAGACCTATCTTTTGCCTTTCTTTGTATCCCCAGCGCTTAGTACAGTGCATGGCACATAGTAGGTGCTTTTTGACCTATTTATTCCTTTAGCTTTAAAAACTACTTGCAGGGGCAGCTAGGTGGCACAGTGGATAGAGCACCAACCCTGAAGTCAGGAGGACCTGAGTACAAATGTGGCCTCAGACCAAGCACTTGACACTTACTAGCCATGTGACCCTGGGCAAGTCACTTAACCCCAATTGCCTAAAACAAACAAAAACAAGAACAAACAAACAAAACAAAACAAAAAAAAAAAAAACTACTTGCAGTACAAGATGAAGTTTTCTCTTTCTTGTGGCCTATGTTATTTTGTAACTAGCAAATTCCTGTCTCTATTCTGCATAAAGATATTCAGTGCCCTTGAGAAACACTGCTCCCTTTCCAGTTAGGCTGGGATCCAGTTTTTACTTTACAATTAGAAAGCAGTTGGTCTCTTGACTTTTGAAGACTCATTCTCTTCACCTAGTATACAACCAACATCTATTTTTATATATTATATATTTCATTTATTTATAATTAAATATTTCCCAATTACATTTGCATTTTAAACCTTTTTATAAATTTTGAGTTCCAAAATCCCAACCTGCTGTTTGATAAGACAAGCAATATGATATTGACTGTCCATATAAAGTAATGTAAAACATATTTTGTATTAGCCATATTGCAAAAGAAAACATACTCAAGTTAGGCCTCCCTGGGGAGCCCTGATCTGTGGTGCTCTGGTGAGAGGGGCCATCATTAGAGGTGCCTCCCCTCTGGAATTAAGGAGAGCCACTATTCCAAGAGCCCAAGCCACAAGCATCCTGAGAATACTCTTCCTCCAGCACCAGAGACTTAGGAAAAAATATGTATACGATGATACCTATCTTAAGCAAAGTTATGAAGGATACAAAGGCTATTATAGCCAAGGCCAAGGGGACTCAGAGTATTATTACTGTGGTCGTGGAGAGGCACAAGATTCTTATGAAGCTTATGGTTAAGATGATAGAAATGGCACAGGACCTCCCTGAAGGCCTGTCCAGCTAGGCCAGTGAAGGGGTCATACAGAGAGTATCCACATAGAGGTTATTAAAACAACCATGAGGGAAAACTATCAATTAAGAGCAAAGTTGTTACTGATTTCTTATATTTCCCAAGATTCCTGTTGCTTTACCCATGACAAGTAATTGTCTAAATGTTTTTCTTCGTGATTCCCTTCTTCTCCTCCCTTCCTCCATCCTGATCCTACATTCTCGCTTCTATATATAGTATTTTAAAATTAGTTAAAATAGATTTAGAAATACCAAATTAATTTAAGTGTGTAGATGTTTTTTTCTTTGTTTAAGTATAAATACAACTGTAGCTTTTATAATAAAAACAGAAGTTGAGTTTAAAAAAAAAAAGAAAACACACATACACATCCCAAGAGAAATAAAGTGAAAAAAGGGTGCTTTAATCTACATGAGTTCATTAGTTTACTTTCTGGAGGTAGATAGCATTTTTTCGTCATGGGTCCTTTGGAATTATCTTAGATCATTATTTTGATTCTTTCACACAACATAGCTGTTACTGTGTATAGTTTTCTCCCGACAACCAGCATTTATTAAGAGTCAGCTCTCTGCAGGGCCTTGTTCTTGGCACTGGTAGAGGATGGAGTGTGGGAAAGGTAATGCAAAATATGATCCCTGCCCACAAGGAGTGTACAGTCTAGTTAAGAAGATTAGATTTTTTTTTCTGTTTTTCTTCTGCTCTTTTGTTATATGGCTGTGTGTCATGACGTATAACAGTTTCCAAACAACTGGAATTAAGGTTCCCCAAAGGACAACAAATGCCTGGTATGGTGGAGGTGAGCAGGCTGCCCCCTATTTCAAAAAGAGAATTATTTAGGAAGAAAACACACATTTATTAAATCCATGTCTGCCAGGCACTGTGCTGAGCACTTTACATTTGATCCCATTTGATACTGATAACAACTCTGGGGTGTAGATACTATAATTATCCCCATTTTATGTTTGAGGAAACTGAGGCAAACCGAAATTAAGTGACTTGTTCATGATCACACAGCTATTGAGGATCTGAGGCTGGGTTTAAACTCTGGTTTTTCGGACTCCAGTCCCACCGTTCTATCTGCTGTGCCACCTAGATACCTAGAAAAGGCAAAAAAAAAAATTTGCATCAGACATGCATGAGTGGTAGAAAAGATTGTAAGGATAAATGGTAAATGTGAAGGATGACTGATGCCTGCACGTTCTTTTAGTATCCTGGTGATGTCAGAAGTATGTTTGAAAAAAGGCCTCCATGTGTTGTGGGCATGGGTGAAAGTCACACAGAATAGGTTGCAGTGTGAATCGCTGGAGACAACGCTCAGATTGATAAGACTTGAGATCTCTTTGAGTGTTTGAGAAATGCAATAAGCCGCAAACACAGATGAGCCACAGTATTACATGGTAAGTGCACTAAAGAGTTACATGAGAACTGTTCTAGGCCAAGAGATGTATTCAACCATGAGGACTTTTTTTTTTTTTAAAAGAAACACAACCTCTGAAAGCAATATAGAGGTAAGGGTGAAAGTATCAAGCGATAGACAGGCTCACCTCAAGAGGAGAGAATGATTTTATTTTATTTTACTTTTAATCATTTATTTTTCTCTCTTTTATTTTTTTTAGACCCCAAAACAGCTTCTGAAACAGAAGTGGATATCTGTGCGGAGTGGGAAATAAAGACTATTACTAGTGCACTGAAGACTTACTTAAGGTGAATCTTTCCAGTCTGTCTTACTTCTGTTGCTGTGCATGTGGGAAGAAATATATTCATCCTATGAAGAGTGCCTGGGTGGCTGTTTAAGATCTGGAAACAGTTCTTGCATTAATACAATCAGTTTCTTTGGTCAAACCAGTAGTGTAAATTGCCAGGCAAATCCCTGCTTCAGGGTAGGGATGGACTTATTTTTATTCTTATATCTCCACAACCTAACATAGTGCCCTGTGTGTAGTAGGCTCCTAGTTGATGTTTGTTCAGTGGTACCACAGACCTTAGGAGTTGGGTCAGTAAGCATTTGTTAAGTTTCTGCTGTGTGCTAGGCGCTGTGCTAAGAGCTGAGGATACAAAAAAAGGCAAAAACCAATTCCTGATCTCAACAAATTCACAGTCTAATGGGGGAGATGAAATGCAGACAGTTATGTATAAGCAAGGTATGTAGAAGATAAATTGGAGATAAGCTCAGAGGGAAGACACTAAGATTAGGGAAGACCAGGAAAAGTTTCCTGCAGAAGGTGGGACTAATGCTGAGATTTGAAGGAAGCCAAAAGAATCAAGGAGGAAGAGAGTTCCAGGCATGGGATTAACCAATGAAATTTACTGCAGCTGGGAGATAGTTGTGTTTAAGGAAACAGCAAGGAGGTTACTGGGTCGAAGGGAATGGGTTGGGAGGTAGAGTAAGGTATGAGGAGGCTGGAAAGGTAGGTTGGGACACGATTATGAAAAGTTTAAAAAGTCAGATGTTATATTTTATATTTGATTCTGAAGGTGATAGAGTAGTCAACTCAGAAGGATAAACAGGTTTAAAAGGAAAAAAAAGCTCATTTTGGGGTAATGGGAGTTCAAAGTGCCACCCTCTTAAAAATATCCTATTATTAACTGAAAATGTGAAGAGAGTTCAGGTCTAGGAATAGATATTTGGGAGTTCCCTAAGAGCAGGTACGGTATAACCTTTGTTTTAATATCCTTAGCACCATGGCCAGTATGGCCCAATAAATGATACTGAATTAATGTGGACTTGTTCTTTACTGGATGGGGTTGCCAACAGTATACAGTCCAGGGCAGCTTCAAGAGAAAATGTACCAGATAAGACAATTTTATAGAAAGGATGCTGTGATAAAGTGTGTCCCTCTGAACCAATCTCAGAAGAAATTTCCCATTATAGAATATTTTAATGTTGATACAGGGTTTACCTTACTTTGTGAAGTAGATCATGAGCATTAGTGTCCTTATTTTCAAGACCTACGACTTGCCCAACATCAGAGGGAGCATTGGAACCCAAGTCTCCCAACTCCCTATCCGGCACTCCATCCATCGCACTGGGATGCCTTTCAGGGGAATGGAAGAATTCTTTATTATGATAGGCTCAGAGGGAGTCACTCAATTTATACCAGACCATGCTGTCCTTTTTTATTTGTCATTTCTAATGAGCAAAACATCATTGATGCTTATTCTCACGTGAAGGCACATGGTCATCTCTAAATTGGCATTCTGATGGAGAGAAGGCATCACTATCCTAGATGTGATATTTCTTCCCCAGGTCTTTGAATAATGGTACTAGGAGTAGGTGGCAGATTTACCTCTTACCCATTCGATAAAGAAAGCCTACATGGAGGGTGTGAAATATATAGTAGGATTGGGAAGGATATGTTCTGGCGTGTGGGGTTTCTAAATGCAAAAAAAAGGCCTGAAGCCATGGTTAGCATAACTGGACAATCAAGCCAATTAAAGATACGCCGGACTTGTGCAAAAAGAGCTGACAACTGAATAGAAATTGGTAGTGATCACTCCTGTTTGCCAGCCCTTGCTACGTCTTTTATCATAGGTTTTTAGATTTAGAACTCAAAGGGTCATCAGAGTCCATTAGTTTTAACCTCCTCATTTTGAAGATGAAGAAGTTGAAGCCCAGAAAAATTAAGCCATTTAGCCAGCATATTTCCTGTTCATCTTGTATATAGTTTACTTTGTATATATTTGTTTGCATGTTGTCTCCCTCCATTAGATTGTAAGGTCATTGAAGGCAGGGACTGTTCTTTTGCAGATAGTAGGTACCTAATAAATATGTATTGATTGATTGATCAAGTCTAACCCATGCCTGTAAAAGAATCCCCTTAATCAGAATACGTTCTCATCCAATGTTTGTTTAATGCTCTCCCACGAAAGGAAACTCCCTACCTCCTATGGCAGTCTTTTCCACCTTTGGATGACATTGTGAGGAAGTTTGTTCCTTATGGGAAGCCTAAGTTTGATTTTTTTATACCACTCACTTGTCGCTTCCAGTTTTACATTCTGGGGCAAAGCAGATTAAGTGGAGTCTCTATTTCACAAAATAACCTTCTGAGTTCAATAGCAGCTGTCATATCCTTATTCCAAGCCTTCTCTTTTCCAAAATAAACATCCCTGATTCCTATGCCATAGATTATTAATGATTCTGGTTGCCCTCTTATACATGCACTTTAGCGTAGTGATGTCCTTAAAATGCAGTGCCATGACCTAAACATGATATGTGGGACATGAAGACCCTTACCAATAAATTCAGGAGACTCAGATGTAGCAAAGAGAAGGATTTCTTTATTAGCTTTCTCGAGAAAGGGCACCCTCCGTCCACCTAAAATGACTCTGGTGGAAGAGTGCAAGGGTGTGCTCAGCAAAGAAAGATTATTTAAATCCCTAACCTCAACTCCTCCTCCCTAACCCCCTTCCTCTCAGCTCGTTGGTGCAAGCCTCGAGGGCACAATCTGTTCTCGGCAATCTACCCCAGCAATAGAGAACAAAGACAGTTTCACAAACTTGCCAGGAGACAAGGAAAGGTGGGAAGTTTTTGCAAGAGTAAGCAGTTTGGGAAGGGGGCATCTGCTAAAGTACAGGATGTGTTGAAAAGCATGTTTCTTTACAAGGTCAACGGGCTGCAAATGTTTCAGTGGAATTAAGAAACGATTAACTCTTTGAGGAGGCTTCACTCCTGAGAGATCATCAGAGATCATCTCTATCAATGATATCTCCAATGTGGTCTGATGAAGTCCTCCTTATTTTGGGGGGGGGAGGGGGGGAGTTGGAGAGGGCTATTGCCTCTTAATATATTTTTTCCTTTTTTTTTTTTTCTTGATGAGGCAATTGGGGTTAAGTGACTTGCCCAGGATCACCCAGCTAGTTAAGTGTAAAGTGTCTGAGGTCAAATTTGAACTCAGGTCCTCCTGACTCCAAGGCCAGAGCTCTATCCACTGTGCCACCAAGCTGTCCCGCCTCTTAATATATTACAAAGCACATTCCAGGGAACTTTTTGAAGTCATAATGTGAGAGTAGTTCAGGCAGCAACCAAGAAAATGGCAGTATAAGTAAGAAGCATCCACCTGTGAGAATATTACATAATCAGAATCAGGAAAAACAATACATAGTTTGATGGAGAGACTTAAGTATAGGTTAATATAAATGACTTGAAAGTATTTAAAACTGAGACATCTTTGTAGGCTGTAAGGAAAAATCTAATAATATTAACAACAATTCTTATTAAGCATAGTGCTTTAAGGTTTATAAAATATTTTTCGCATGTTATGTAAAATACATAATACTTTGTTAAGCACAGTGCTTGAGACACAGGTAGGTACTTAATGTTTATTGATTGATTGATTGATTGATTGGTATATTATCCAACTTGAGCCTCATAGCAGTCTTTTGAGATAGATACTGTTATTACCACCATTTTACAGAGGAGGAAACTGAGACAGACTTTAAGTGACTTGATCAGGGTCATATAGCGAAGAAAGTATCTGAAGCTAGATTTGAACTGATATCAACTTTGCTGCACTCAGCTTGCTACATCCCCTAGCTGCCATGCATAACATAGAATCTTTGCAGGCACATAAAAATATATCGTTCAGCTTAAAACTAAGACCTGGCCCCAAGTCCCAGGTTTGACATTTATCAAGCTGTGTGGCCCTGGGAAAGTCCCTTAACCTTTTAAGTCTCAGTGGCTTCCTTTGTCAAGTGGGAGTAGTAATACTGGTGCTCTTTACAAGATTATTGTGAGGATAATTCTTTGTAAACCTTAGCTTTTATGTGGGTCTTTTATAATTGATTTATAATTTTTATAAGTTATATAAATTTATAAATTATTATATGACATAATATATTATATAATAATGTAACAATATATTATAATTAATGTGTATTATAGATAATATATATAAATAATATATATTTTTATATATAAATTTTATAAGTTTTATAATTGATTTACTTGGTCTCATATATATATCTATATATATCTTCATAAACCTTTATATGTATGTGAGGAGCTACTGCTATCATCATCATCATCATCATCATCGTTTCCTATTAGAAAACACCTCCTTTTTCGTATTTCTTCTTGACTTTTCCTTGCTGCCAAACTGATGGGAAGAAATTAGTCTTGATTTAAATGGAGGTAGTGAAAAATGTTGAACTAATTGTCTTGTTTCTGCATCATATTTAACGGGCTCTTGTGTTTGTGGCCTTGTCAGGAAAGCACTTGAGTTGTGCTCGAATTCTCTACCCTCTCATTTCTTGTCATGAGCATGTAGAAAAATTGAAATGGGTATTAGGTCATTTCAAGAAAAGAGAAAAGCTGGTGGGGGTGGATCCTAAAGGCACGTTAGGATTCTTCTGGTCAGATAATATTGTTGAGTTTCTATTGTTTCTCTGGGCTGTTTTTGCCCTAGGAAAGATCATGCTATGGAGATAATGTCTCAGTTGCTGTTAGGTGAAGATTGATTCTTTTGTGATAAAATTTATCTTTTTGGTCTCTTTGTGTTTTCCAGAATGCTCCCTGGGCCACTCATGATGTACCAGTTCCAAAGAAGTTTCATCAAAGCAGCGAGTAAGTTTAAATGTTGTTACAATTTTGAGGAGGTGGAGAATAGCAGAGACTTTTTTTTTGAATTTTGAAGAAAACATTATATTCAAAATTGCATCATCTGTCCCCTGGTACACTGCCCCTAAACTATGCCCATGTAGATGCTAACAAGCCTGTGGTATACAGACTCAGACTTAAGATACTGCTGCCGGAGGAGAGAAACAAAGCTTTGATTGCAAATTCTAGTTACTGAATTTCTAATGACTTCGGTTTTTCCAGCCAGAGCAGCACTTTACAGAATGAATCAGACACTGCGTGTTACGCAGATCGAGCCTGGGATGCTTTTCCATAAATATGACACCCGTTATATAACTTCATAGGTCTTATTCCATCAGATCTTCCATTCACAGCTTATGATCATTCTTTGGATGTCCCATACAGGTCCCTAGCATCATGTTACTGGTATAAAAAGTACATGGGGATTAGGTGCAAGCCATTCCTAGTACCCTGGAATCTGGCTGTGTGGAGTAAGTGAGTGGAATGTCGGTAATGGAGCCTTCAGATTCATATCAGATAAAAGTCTGGCCTGAATTGTCAGCATACAACATTACAGCATCAGCAGCTCATACAGCCCTCTGGTTTTAAAATTCATTGATTTGCCAGCTTCTAGGGGTAGCCATTCTCTTTCCTACACAGAAGAGTCATCATTGATTCGTCTTTTGCTTCTTCACTATTTTGAGGCAGCATGAAATGGTAGATACAGTTAGGAAGATCTGGGTTCATGTAGTAGCTGTGTGACCATGGACAAGTCCTTTAACCTTTTGAGTGAGCTTCAGGCAACATTCCCCAGCCATATCAATCAGTAGGTAATTTGCTGTGTGCCACGCACTGTGTTTAAGAACAAAAACAGACTCTGCTCTTGAGGAGCTTACATTGTGTCTGCTTGTTTTCTCCTCCATTGGATTGATTTTTGTTCCTTTTAATTTTTTAATATTCGTTTTTTAAATTTTGAGTTGCAAATTCTCTTCACACTTCAGCCCCTCCTCTACCCATAAAGAAGGCAAGCAATGATGCTCATTATACACATGAAGTCATGTAAAACATTTCCACATTAGCCATCCTCTGTTAGATTGTGAGCTCCTCCTTTTGCCACTGTGTCTGGTACACAGTAGGTACTTAATAAATGCTTATTGATTTGACTGGTGGACTGGAAGTTATAGATAGGTTGTGATTTGTGTGAGTGGGCTGATAAAATAATAGGTGCTTTTTGTATCTTGACTTGGATCCCTGTTCTATCTGTGTGTATTCATTGCAAGAGAATCAAGAAGAAAAATGCTTGAGAGGTCTCATCCCCTATGAACTGTTTCCTGAAAGGCAAAAGAAAGAAACAGGTAGATAGGAAGAAATGAATTAGGAGTCAAAATGGGATTGCACTGGACCTTTCTCAGAGGAATTCCAAGTAACCATTCTCTGATTCATTCTAACAGCCCTATAAATAGCCCAATAACTCAGGGCATAGTGAATGACATTGCCCTGTTTAATAGTAATAACTCACTCTGTCAGTGCCTTAATGCTTAAAAAGTGCTTTCCACGTAACCCAATGAAGGAGGGGAGTGTGAGCAATTTGATCCTCCTTTTGCAAAATAAGAATCAGAGAAGTTATAGGATTTCCCCTAGAGTCACTCTAGATTGAAATTCATATCCCTCCTGACTAAGTTCGGAATTCTTTCTGCCACACAACATTGCCTGTCCTTCATAGAGAAAAACAGTGATAGGCCCGAGAAAAGATGGCAGAACAGGGATTAAAACCAAGTTTGGAGGAAGGAATTGAATTCCTAATTCTTGTTGCCTTGGTTATAACAAGCTGTTTGCTGCCCGTGCTTTGAAGATAATTCAACACTTCCTACATCTTCGCTAAGGTTGTATTGAGGTGATATTTTGATATATGACACCCTCACAATGCTCATGCTAGTTTGTTTACCACTTAACCCAGTGCATAAAGTTCCTTGCGTCTGTAAAACTAGCCATGTGAGAGAGATAGCTATTCCTGGTTTCTCCCCTACAGCTATGAGTACAGTTGACTACTGCTTTTTATGTTATTGTTTTTCATTGTCCTAACTTGAGTCATATTCATCATGTTACTCCATGTTACATCGTAGGGCCTTCCTGGTTTAAAAGAGGATAATAAAGACACTTCTTCAACCTTTCTAACCTAAACCTATCCTTAGGACAGGTAGGTGGCACCGTAGTGCACAGAATTCCTGCCAGGCCTGGAGCTAGGAAGACCCATTTCCTTGAGTTCAAATCTGACTTGGGACACTTATTAGTTATATGACCTGGGCAAGTCACCCACTGTCACCAAGACTAGTTCAGCTTTGACACTGATGTTTTACACCCTTCTGTTTCAGAGTTAGAGAATCAAGAGTCTCGCATCTCAGAAATCCATGCCCTTGTTCATCGGCTCCCTGAAAAAAACCGGCAAATGTTACAGTTACTCATGAACCATTTGGCAAAGTAAGTTTTATAATTGATTTCCATGGTCTCTTATTTTTCTTTTTGAAAGTTTGTTTCTTTTCAATTTGCCTTTTTTAGTTCTGCCTACTTGCTTAGACGCAATAGTCATGTTGAATGGTAAAAGAGTGTGTGTGTGTGTGTCTGTGTGTCTGTGTGTGTAATATGTATATAAAATAACTGGAACATGATGGGAAGAAGGACATGAGTTGTATGGTCTTCACCAGAAAGACTAGACTATTCCCACAAGGCCAAGTTATTGGGTAGAATTTCTAAGGGTGATAAGCCATTATGACTCCTCCCATAAAAATTCAGAAGGGGAAGTAGACATCCCTGGACTGGGGATCAGGAAACCTGGGTTCTAGACTTGGCTTTCCACCAGCTAGCTACATGACATTGAGTTGATTAACCACTCTGCTTCAGTATCTTCTTCTGTCAGATGGAAGTCATAATACCTGGCCTGCCTAATCTTATAAGCTGGTGAGTATCTAATGAGATCAGAGTGGTGAAGAGAATAGAACACTCTCCATATATCAGTGGATTTTTGTTGGACAAATGTCTAGTTACTGTCTTGGGTTGAGGAAGGCAAATGGCTTAGTGAATATAGTGCTGGACTTGGAGTTCAAATCCTGCCTCCAGTTCTTACTTGTTTTATGACCCTGGACATGTTATTTAAGTGCTCTATGCCTTTGTTTCCTCATTTCTAAAATAAGGGGATTTAAACTCTGTGGCCTCCAAGGTCCTCTCCAGGATTGTTTTCTGTGATTCTGTGCACCCAACCTGGTTTTCCTTACTTGGGTTTCTATTTTTCATGCCTTTAATGCTATGAGAATGTGTCACAGAAGACCTGATAGAATCCCATTCTTTTTCCCAGGCCTCCTTTGGCTAGGGTGAAATGTTCTGAAGGGTGACAGGGAGCTTAGAGAGGCCAGTCACACACTGAGCAATTAGTTCCTCAATTTTCTGGGTGCCCTTCTGACAGCCTACTGGACAGAATGGCTTTTGTGTTTGACTAGGAGGACTTATGCCTCAGAGATTTAGTTCCTTCGTGGGGATAAGCTGATATCCTACCGAGGCAGAATGAGCTGGTATTGAGATTTCTGTGAAATGCTTGACTTTACCTCCTGGAAAGAGTGTGTAAGTGTTACCATAACAATTTCCATGTGTTTGAATTTAAAAGCAGGAAAAGCCCTGTGTGCTCAGTGAGAAGCAATAGGGAGGGTTCAAAGGCAAGTGCTCTTCTGGCCTGGATTACATGTTCAGGAATAATTAGGAAACCTACTAGAGATATACAAGTTAGCAGTGGGAATCCTGCCTTCTCTCCTTACCCCCCAACGCCCCCTCCCCCAAGTGAAAAAAAAAAAGGGAAATGGCTGAAGAATCCTGAAGAACTGGACTCTAAAATTTCAGATGTTTTTTTGATGATCGTTTTGTATCTGTATTCCTTTTTGTATCTGTTCCTAGAACTGAAAACTGGGTTTAGAGTTTGATCTCGACACTGCACGTGCATAAGAAGGAGGGTGCCCAAGGAAGAGGGAGATTTCAGGTAGAGAAAGCAGCCAGTTATTTGCAAGGAATCTCAAGACCATTGTGTGACTCTTAGGCATTAAAGACATCTCTGGGCCAGCTGAGAGCAGCTGGAGGAGATGGGAAAAGAACCAGCTGGTAGAAGAGTCTCTGTTCAGTTGAAGAATTTGGGAGAACTTGGGAGGAATGGAGACTGGAAGAAGTCAATGCTCCAGCACAGGGCACAGAGCCTGTATCCGATTTTCCTTATTATTAAATTGTCCCCAGGAATGTTAGGAATCAAAAAAAGAACACTCAGTGTGAAGTTTGATGAACAAAATTTGTTGGGTAGTCAGTTTGTTGGAACTTTTCCTCCTCTCCACCCTGTGGATCCCAGCTTCCATTAAAGTCAGTTTGTCCTTGTCCATGGACCAAGGATCATGGCAGCTGTATGATCTTGAGCTGCAGCTGTGACCTCGATTGTTTGCCTGAAACCAATCCAAACTAGTTTTGTTACTTTTAAAGAGTATTTCTGAGGTATATTATTCTGTTTGCCTGGTATTTTTTTCCTATCATTATTCCTCTTTCCCTTTCCATGAGTTTTTTTGTCATTCATGTGTTCAGTAGAACATGCCATCATTAGAAATTCTGTGTAATGAAGGGGGCCCAGAAGCCAGTTATTCCAACATATCCTTTCTATTATCCTGCCTCTGCTTGCAATATAGTATTGTGGGAAGATCACTGGTCTTGGAATCTGGAGAGACATGGGTTCTAATCCTGGCTTTGATACTTAACCAACTAACTCTTTAATAAAAGCTTGTTGACTGACTGACCACCAACTCTGTAATCCTGAGCCAGTCATGTAACTTTTCTGGGCCTCGTTTTAATCACCTACAAAATGGGGACAGATAATCTTTGTGCTTGCTGCCTTTCAGGGATGTTATGGAGAAAATTCTCATTATTTGGAATTTTTTTTTTATATTATGTTGAACTCTCCTCTTTCTCTCCCTTTCCCTTCCCTGAAAGGTAATAAATAGGTAAGAAATGTGAGGCTCAGACAAGAATAACTTGTCCACAATTGGATGGTGGGTGATCAGTCAACCAACATTGACTAAGCACTTAAAAGTCTCTTCCTCTCTCTGTCTCCCCTATTACTTCTAGAGCTGGCAAAGATATTTCAAGATTGGCATCACATCCCAGCTAATTCTCAAAATTTTTCAAGGTAGACATTCCTGTTTTCCTTTAGATCATCAAATTGTATGATTTCCCATGTACGTTGTTGTCACCTTCTGGTTGTTCTCTAGCCTGTCTGTCTCCTTCCTAAAATGGGCACCCCCAAAAATGAACATCATCTTCCAGTCGTGGTCTGAGCAGGGCACAGGACAACATGGAACTTCATCCTTCACATCTCGGACCATAGGATTCTGTTCATGTTCATTAGTGTTTTTGATTACCACATCACATAGTTCATTTAGAGCTTAAAGACAGCTAAAACCTTCAGTTTTTGTTTTGTTTTGTTTTGTTTCACATCCATTTCTTTCTAAGTACATCTTAGTAATAACAACAATTCACATGCACATTAATTTGAGGTATATGAACTCCATAACAATATCCCTACAGATTAGGTAGTGTGAGTGAACATTATTATCTCCATATGGAATGTAATCTTCTTGAGGGCAGGGACTATTTCGTTTCTTGTCATTGCAGGAGGAGTTTCAGCAATGCTCATTGATAGATTGATCTCAATTTTACAGATAAAGAAAATGAAGTTTATAGAAGTTAAATGTCTTACTCATTGCAGCCATATAGCATATGTACAGTGGGTCTTGGGCCCAAGTGTTCTGACTCAGAATTTAGTGTCCTGTCCTGTATACCAGGGGCAACTAGGTGGCATAGTAGATAGAGTGCTGGTCCAGGAGCCAGGAAGACTCGTCTCCTAAAGTCCAAATCTGGCCTCAGACACTTGCTAGCTGTGTGAACCTGGGCAAGTCACTTAACCCTATTTGCCTCAGTTCCTCATCTGTCAAATGAGCTGGGGATGGAAGTGCCAAGAAAACCCCAAATGGAGCCACAAAGAGTTGGACACGACTAAAAGCAACAAATATCTTTCAATCCTACAAATATGAAATGTTGTATGCACTTTGCAATGAGGTTACAACAACCAGACCACCATGCAACATCTCTTATCTAAATGTGTTTTTGTGCAGTTGATTGTATGGGACTTTAAATTTATCTCTATGAAATTTTATCTTATTTGTGGATATTTGTGGAAATTTGTGGAAATTTATAGTACAGGAAAGACAGACAACAGACTAAAGACCACAGACCACAGTATGAGTGAGAGGCAGAGCTGGAGTTAAAAATCACAGTTTCCCAGTGTAATTTTTAATACTATGAAAGTTGAAATCCATGAGAGATTGTATGAGGTGAAAGCTGATGACTTGTTCTGTTTTTCAATTAAGACTTATTTTTAAAGAATTCCTTTTTGTGTCTACTTTGCAGCTTTCTGTCTTTATAAACTCCACTACCCTTGCATTCCATTCCAGTATTGAGATTAAGGTGTCTTGAGACAAGGGGATCTGTGCATTTCTTTGCAGTTTTCTGAAGCTAAGATTCTTACTGGAATATGCCTGAGTTATCATGCCTCCAAGTAACTACTTTCATTCCTAATGATCCACTTTCTTTCAAAGTTCCAGTCTCAGTGTTAGTGTTCTACTGGAAAGCATGCCATATTGACTTTCCTCATTACTGAGGATTTGCCCTATGGTTATTAAACTTGTGGTTCAAAGGAAAAGAAATTTAGTGTTGTGTATTTTGAAAAGGAATATTTTGAAGCACTTTCTAAAGGCCATTTCCTTTAGCTGCAGAAGGAGTTTTAAGACATGTTTAATCCCAAGAAGTATGTTCAGGAGAATAAGGCTTTGGAGGAAAAAAGAGCATGTGCGCGCACGC